TAAGAGATTGATGAATTGTCCAAAAGAACAACATAACCTGTTAATGATCATTGTGTTAAAGGACAACTTGCCCTATTAAAGTCAAAATAAGTGTACAGTTTTAGGTGCAATCAGCACGCAAGATGATACCTTGACCCCGAGTTCCTTTTAAAAGTCAAACAATTCTCAAAGCTTTTTCTTAATGTTTGTCATTCAACTATTACATGAATTGTGCAAGTATATGCACATAATAAGACAATTTGGGCCGAGTAATCATCAAGTAATTGGCCGCCCTACTAGGCATCTGTACTGTCCAAGACTGTGTAAATCAGCATTCTTAGTAAGTACTAATTTGTGATTTTATTCAAGAGGAGTATTAGTTGGATTACCTCTAAATACATCAGTCTCAGAAATGATGTCCAGTGTGTACTTACCCTGACACAAGAAAATACCTTCCAAGTTTCGTGCTACTTCAATCCCCAACAAATATTCCAGTTTTTCCAGATATTTCATATGAAAACATTTACTCAAATAGAACTTTTGCACAACTGTTCCATCATTTCCAAATATAATCAGATCGTCAACATATGTAAGAATGTTAAGCAAAATGTGTCGATCTCTATTAGTAAAAAATGAGTAACAAGAATATGACTGCTTAAATCTGTAAGTTCTTAGTTTTACTGTTAACTTGGTAAACCAGTACCTGGGTGTCTGTCATAAACCATATAATGACTTTTGAAGTCTAGATACTTTACTGGGTGTTGAGGAAACAAAACTGAATGGTATTTCAATATAGAACTCTTCGTCTAAGTCACCATATAGAAATGTATTATGTACGTCCATCTGATGCAGTTCCCAATTCTTAATAGCTGCAATGACGAGAAATGTTTGCACAGTCACTGTCTTTGCTTTTGGGGCGAAAGTCTCATTGTAATATATGTCGTCGACTTGATTATTTCTAAAAATCACTAAATGTGCCTTGTATCTCTCAATGCTTCCAAATTATATTAAATCTTGCAAACTCAATAGCTCTCGATTATTTTCTTTTCAAGAGGCAAATATTATACTATCCACATTCTATTATCCTTAAGAGCATCTATCTATTTTCTCATCACCTCTTTCTAATGTTCATCCTTTACTATCTGAGGTAAAACTACTAAGTTCATACTCTATGGTAATAAATGTAAGAAAAGATCGGTGTTGCACAAAAAATTTATCACAATTCACATAATGTATTATAGGATATGGTGTATTTGAGGATTTTGATGTGAGCAATGAACTTGCTGAGGGGCTTACTCAAATGGTGTTCTAGCATCCAATAAATGAGATGATATTCTGTTAATCAAATATCCAGTTGCAAAAACACATTCGCCCCAAGAGTTAATAGGTAAATATGCTTGAAAATGCAAGGCTTTTGCAACATTTAAAATGTGGCGATGCTTTCTTTCGACACGTCCATTATGTTAGGGTGTCCTGATACAAGAAGTTTAATGCAAAATTTGATGTTCAACAAAATATTTTTTCAAACACATAAACTCAATACCATTATCATTTCTAACCATTTTCACATCTTTCTCAAATTTTTGTCTAACCATTGCGATAAATTTTTTAGGAGTACAAATAATCTCATCTTTTCTATTCAATAAATATATCCACACGAGATGAGAATAAACAAGTGTCAAGAAATAAATAGCTCCACAAGAAGCAAAAATCCTATAAGCTCCTCATAAATCACAATAGATAAAGTCAAAATTTTCTATAGTTTTATTATCACTAGGAAAAAATTCTTCTCTTGTTTGTTTAACTCTAAAACAAATGTCGCATAACTTTTATTTGAAACTATTTACTTTACTAGCACTCCTAACTTCAAAAATTAACCTTTCTATCTCAGAGGAGGGATGATCCATTCTTCTATGCTAGAGAT